TAAGAATTTGGGAATAAAGAAAAAATTTATATCTTTACATTTCCTAAATTGAATTTAATAATTGTTCTTTCTCTAGTATCCGAGGAAAAGAAAACAGTTTTCATTAAATTAAGATTTTTTTTTTAAATATATATTCACATTTAAGCATACGTTGAAAGAAAGTAATAAAAAATAAAACGTCAACACTTTAAAATGGAATTGGCATAATATTAAAAACAATCATTAATAAATATTAAAAGAGTCTGTTTGGTCAAGCATGGTTTGTCCTTTATACAGATAACCAAAAAGTTATAGCTCCTTCCCTGATACTTGACGAATTTCCTTTTACCTCTCTCTTCCAGGTGTGGGCATTGTAAGAAACTTGCTCCAGAGGTAATAAGAATCACATGTGCTAATTATTATACCATAGAATTTCTATTTTGTAGTTCTTTTATTTGTTTAGTAATATATGATGACAATGTCTGTCTTTTATGTACAGTATGAGAAAGCTGCATCTATACTTAGCAGTCATGATCCTCCCATTGTTCTTGCCAAAGTGGATGCCAGTGAAGAAGCAAACAGAGATCTTGCAAGTCAGTTTGAAATCGAGGGCTTCCCCACAATTAAAATTTTGAGAGATGGAGGAAAGGGTATTCAAGAATACCAAGGTCCCCGTGATGCTGATGGTATCGTGGCTTATTTAAAGAAACAAAGTGGTCCTGCTTCTGCAGAAATAAAGTCAGCAGAAGATGCTAGCAGTCTTATTGATGACAAGAAGATAATTATTGTAAGTTCTTTAAGCTACTTTTCTCCTGTTTCAATCCATTGTTTCTTTGATAATGCAGTTAGTGAGCATTTATGCATCTGTTTATAGGTAGGGGTGTTCCCAAAATTCTCTGGAGAGGAGTTTGAGAACTATACTGCTCTTGCTGAGAAATTGAGATCAGACTATGATTTTGGTCATACATTGGATGCTAAACACCTTCCACGCGGAGAGTCATCAGTCAGTGGCCCCGTAGTTAGGCTGTTGAAACCTTTTGATGAACTTTTTGTTGACTTCCAGGTATCCTAAGAATATAACTACCGTTCCATGTCATGGTTTAGCTACAGTTTATTTATTTAATGTTCTTTTGTATCCTTTACAATCATCTCTTTTCCAAGTACTCTATGGATTTGACTATTGTTCTCTTGCAGGATTTTAATGTGGAAGCTTTGCAAAAGTTTGTTGAAGAATCTAGCATCCCACTTGTCACTGTCTATAACAATGACCCAAGCAACCACCCTTTTGTTGTCAAGTTCTTTAATACTCCCCAAGCAAAGGTAGGTAAATGAGAAATTGGTTTTATGTATGGAACTGAGGATTATCTGTGCTTAATGTGGCATCAACTACTCTTCTTGTGGTACATTTTTTCTTTCTACATTTTATTAAACAAGTAGATTATCTTACCTTGATTAGTTGTGTTGTGATCAAGTCTAGGGCTGGTTGTGAGTGACCATTCTATATGCTTCATTCTTTTTAATATCAGCTGACTGTCCTTTCTTATTTTTTGTAATGGCTTCTTATAGATTCTTTGAATTATCTTCTAATAAAACTTTTGAAACTTCTAGGCGATGCTTTTCCTCAACTTCAGTGGTGAAGCTGCTGATTCCTTTAAATCAAAATATCATGAAGTAGCTGAGAAATTTAGAGGAGCTGGTGTTGGTTTTCTGTTGGGAGATCTTGAGGCTAGTCAGAGTGCCTTCGAGGTTGGTGTCTCTTCAGTATGCCAAAATGTTACTTTTGCCTCTCACTTAATGTATTTTCTGCATATCTAATTCTTACACTGGTTGAATTACAGTTTTTTGGACTCCAAGAGAGCCAAGTCCCTCTCATCATTGTTCAGACTAATGATGGAAAGAAGTACTTGAAACCAAATCTGGAGCCTGATCAAATTGCATCATGGGTGCAGGATTACAAGGTGATTTGCCTACAAGTATTTTTTTGGCAGTCATTTGCCAACATCATTAATACATTTTTCCTGTATGAATGTATAACCCTTATCTATATAACAGAACTCAAAGTGTAATAAAGACATGTTTTCTATATAGTCTTATTTTTAGTGGTAGGCTATCTAGATTTAGGTCTTTAATTTCATGGATTGTGTTCTTCATTAATACCTTATTGACTGAAGTGCTCCTTTGCAGGAAGGAAAAGTTCCACCATATATTAGATCTGAGGCTATCCCTGTGGAGAATAATGAGCCTGTGAAAGTGGTTGTTGCTGACAGCCTCAATGATATGGTCTTCAACTCTGGAAAGAATGGTGCGTATGGAAAATAGTTCATACAACACAATATACTTGATATTTGGACATGTCATTTTTATTCTGTCAATTAACAGGCCACCTCAGCAAAAATTTAACAGAAGTACCAAATTGGGGCAAAATGGTAAACAGTAGGGACCAAATCAGGGATTTTTTAAGTTTGGGGACCAAATCGGGGGTCCGTATGATAGTTCAGGGACCAAAATGGGGTTTTAACCTTCTTTATTTTCTATTTTTTCTCTCATTTGGAAGAATGTAACTTATGTTCCATTGTGTGTTTTGGTTTTCTCTTGATTGCTGGGACAAAAACTTTTAACTTGCCAAAGGTTTACTACCTTTTTTTCTTCACTTTTATTTCTATAGCTCAGTTATGATTCCATGATTTGATTATTTTATAATTCTACCTTTTAGGAAAACCATAAATTGTGATCCATGCATTTCTTTCTGCAGTTTTGCTTGAGTTTTATGCCCCTTGGTGTGGACATTGCAAAAAGTTGGCTCCTATATTGGATGAAGTTGCTGTTTACTATGAAAAAGAAGCTGATGTTGTGATTGCTAAATTTGTAAGATTATTTCGTCCTGGCTTTATTAGATCATACTGTTTTATATTCCAACCATAATTTTACAGCTATAATAGCTTTTTAAAAATAGTTCTAGCTTCCTGATACAAGTTTGCTTCTTTGTTTCTTCAGGATGCAACTGCAAATGATATTACAAACGACTCTTTTGATGTTAAAGGTTTTCCAACAGTTTACTTCAAGTCAGCAAGTGGGAAGATATTACCATATGAAGGGAACAGAACCAAAGAAGACATAATTGACTTCATTGAAAAGAACAAGGACAACACTGTCCAGCAGAAATCAGAATCACCCAAAGATGAGCTCTAAAGAGGGTAAATATTTTTGTATCATAACTGCCTCTTTCTCGCCTCAGCAATGCAATATGATTTAGCTTTATAGAATTTCTAATGGTAAAATGTCAATAATGTTCTTTTTCTGCAGGACAGTTGCCTACTCACCCTCCAGAACACATAGACAGACATACATACTATGTGCATGGAAGTTGGTATACACAAGAAAAACCAAAGTGACAAAATGTTATTGCATGATATCCCTCCCTGGCTAGCTTACACTCCATAGTTTACCTAGGTCTTTTGAGGAAAATAATAAACTGGGAGGCATTTTTTTCTTGTAGCCTTAGTTTTTGGTTTATGGTTGTAATAGCTTTTCAGCTGTAGAATTGTTTCAGTAATTTAAATCTAGAAAAGCTGTTTGAGTTAAATGCCTATTGTGTGTGGATTTTTAAGTATCTATGATGCATGAGATGAGATGGCAGGTATATCTCTTAAAGTGCCTCCTGAGGTGTGCGTTTATTTGAGAAACTTAACCCTCAATTTTATAATTTGCAGATTAAGGAATTACCCTTTCTCCCCTCTTTTCCTCTCTGACCTTGGATTTGAGTGGTTATGGTTATTGTAATTCTAACGCACAAATATTTCTCAGAAGACACTCTTTTGTTTAATACATGATATTGGCTATGGCATTCGCCTAAACACAAACCCTGAGCGTAAGAAAAAGCACTCTATATATAATACAAATTAGTAAGTATCAAGCTTTGATTTTAGGTCTTCTTTCTGGGGCCTCAGGAGACATTGCCTTTCTCTTGCCATAGCTTCTGTTGCTCTCGCCACTACTATTACCGTCGTTAGTGTTCTCTGTGTTGTTAACGTCATTGGAACTAATATCATTTGTTATGTTGCTGCTGTGGGATTGAGTGTTGTTGTTATCGCTGTCGATCAGCCCTATTCCTCCACCATTTGTGTAGGAATGATCAATGGATTTCAGAAGGTATGACTGAATCTTCTTCACATCTGACAACTGCAGAGGCTTCAGCAGGAATTCTTCCGCTCCTCCTTCCAAGCACCTATCCATGGATTTCGAATTAAAGCTGTTCATTAATCAACCGAATATTTTTCATTCATGTATATAAAGCGATCCCCATATCAAAATAAATAAATAAATAATATCCCATGATTCATTATTAAAGATTCCAACCTTTTGTTAAGGAAGATGATCTTGGGCCTTATGCCATTCATATTTAAAAAGATGCAACAAGCATGGAGGGAAGAAAACTACCAAAAAAATTACAACGGGAGTATGAAATCCACCCACTCAGTAACATTTTCAAAGAATCAAATTTCATGGTTATCGAAGGAAGGAATAATTAAAAATCTTAAATTAACTTAAAAAGAACAATATAATATCTAAAAGAAAAAAGAGAAAACAAAAAGGAAAAGGACAGGAAGTTGTTATAAATTGTGGGCAACTTACATGGTAACTCTAGATGGTACATTCTCTGATGACATGACCACGACTGGTATATGTTTCCAAGAAGATTTCTGAATGTGGAAGCATCACTTTCATTTACCATTAAAAATTAAATTAAATAAGAAACTTTTTGTTGTTTATTCTATTATTTCATCAGTCATCATCTAGAGATATTGCAAATGAAATACCAAGTCAAGAGTGGAGGGTATATTACCTTTACGCGTTTGAGCAAATCATAGCCGCTCATCCCGGGCATACAGTAATCCGTCATGATTAGGTTCACCTTCATGCCCTACATTTCATCAAACAAGATAAAAGATATCATCTTTTGTAATGACGATTAACAGCAGCAAAAATCGAAAAACTTTAGAAGAAAAATTAACAAGCACTGGAAAATGGAATTAAACATGAAAGTTAACCCAGCTTTCTGTTATGGGGTAGGAGAAATTTGGAAAGAAATAAGCACAGACATGGAAAGAGAAAATGGTAGAAAATGCAATGCAACCTTTTGTTGAGAAGAGGAAGGGTGTTGTGAATTATCATGATCAAGCAGGCCCAGATATTCCAAAGCTTTATTCCCAGACTCTACACAGGTTACTGCGACAAATCAACAAACACTTGGTAAACAAAGAAAACATATGATTTAACATAAATTGAATTACCCACATCTAAAAACCAAGAATATAATCCTTTGATGGCTCTGCATAAATCTGATTGAAATGGGTACAGCTGCTTCTGGGATGTCCCTACCCAGATGAAAGAAAAAGAAAACCCATATCTTAATTCTCAACCTTGGTATGAGGAGATCTTGAGCAATCTCTCTAAGAGTTTCCTGTCAAGGAGACTATCATCAACGGCCAACACATGGAAATGTTGCTTCTGCTGCTGCTGCTGCTGTTCTTTTTCCATTGATTCAGGGGAATTGAGTAGTGCTTTTGATCTTTTTATACAGATACAAAGCTGACAAGAAAGAGTGCCCGTAGGTTTAATTTTCTAAAGGAAGTGACAGGTGAGGAGCGGCAACCTGTAGCTTTCCGACAGAATTGAATGAAATTGCGATGTTTCTGATGTATATATTCTGTGTATGAATAAGGTGATGGTACAACCATTTCTCTTTGGATTTTCTTTGATATTCTTAAGGAAAATCTTGGGAGATCTTTGTTCCCATTTTCGTCATCAAGTTTGATTTTTGGGAGTGGACGCCATGGTAGACTTTGAAAAGCTGCTTTAACTAATTAAACTAACTTTTCATATAATTACCATTAAGGCAAGGGTGGTGGACTAGTTAGTAAGAGGATTTGTTTCCGACTTTATTGACAATTAGTGCTAGGGTTTTGTACGTAAAAAAAAAATGTAAAAATTAATATTAATTTTAGTATTATTGTTAGATGAATGAATTTTATTAGATAATTAATAAATTAAAAATTAAATTTTTTTTAGCATAAATTAAAAACTAAAAAACTATATTTATTACACTCACTAATAAAAGTTAGAAAAACCATTGGTACTAATTTTTGTGTGTGTTTATTTTAAATTATATAATGAAAGACAAATCTTTTTTTTTTTTTTTTCCTTAAAAAAAAATTACTACCACATTGACACATACTAACTTTTCAATTTTCTAATCTTATGTTGATGATCTACCTTTTAATTAGATCACCGAGATGAATTATGTGTGAAAGTTAACCCACAATACTACTTAATCATTATAGAAAAACATTACAATATGATGTTTGTTGTTTTACATTTGTTTCAAACCTTGAATTATTTTCAAAATACAATTACTACTAGTGCGAGCCCTTAGAGTTGGGGCATGTTTAGGAGTTTATTAGCAAATTTGTTTATGAGTAACTTGTTCTCTCAAGTTTGAAGAAGTAAAAATTAGGAGGTGAAAATAATAGGAAACCCGTGATAGAAAAGTCAGTTTGGTACCTAAAATCAATTACCCTTCTAAATGTGGAAAGATCTTTGCTTTTATATTATCATTCAACAATTCCTACCGTATCTCGCAAAATATTGCATTGTTTTGTTTTGATCATTAAAGAAACCTAAGATTGATTCTTGTCTTTTAATGGCCGAACACTACTCAACTTTCATAATCTATAGCTTCATAAATTTTCTTCACATGCATTGAATGCGTGGATAGTCAGTGTCTTCACATCAATTTTTATGATGCAAAAGGCACACCTCCATCTAAATTTAATGTATTTAAATAAAGTAATTTTTTAAAATATTAATACCCAAAACTTTAACTATAATTGAAAATTAATTAGTACTTACGCTAGTGTAACTTGATTATAATTCTAACTATTTTTAATGCTTATGTTAATTAAATTTGAATTCTTTTAACATAAAAAAAAAAAAGAACATTCTTTCATCTTGCACATTTTTCTAATCTTTCTCTGAATTTTCAAATTTGAAACATTCAAAATAAACGTTCAAACTTGTAATCATTGTAACTATGAGATGAATAGTATATTATAACTAGAAGAACCACAACCTTGACTGAGTTCTCATGACCCAACTACATCCATCAAATTCTTTCAACTGAAAAGTCTACATGTTCTAATTCATGCATGTTTAAGTGAATTGAGTAAGAAACTTAAAATGTTTTAAGTGAAAAATTCTTGAACCAAATTAATAGAAGAAACTTGCATTATTTAAATATAAGATGCACTACTTTATTTTTTATTATTAATTAATTTATAACAAGAGGAGTGCAATCCCATCTTATATAATTTATTATTTAATATATAAAAAATTTAATTAATTTTTAATATATGTTTAAGTTCCATTTACTATGATTTTATTTTTAGGTTTTGAGTTTTCATTTTTTATATATTTAATAATTATTACTATATTTAAAAAATAAAATTTATTGTATTTAATTAATTTATATATAATACTAATTACTAAATATATAAAACTCAAATCCTAAAATTAAAACTATACTAAAAAAATCATAATTTAAGAAACTAAAATTTTTATTAAATTAAACAAAAAATTATAAATCATTATATTAAGATTTATTATATATATTTACTTATCTATTTTTTTTTATCTTGGTTGCACAATATGAGGTAATCCTTTCTCATTTTTTATTCCACTCCACCTATATATTATACGACTCAAATTCAAGATATTTTACTTTCAAAAGAATAAAATAATCATTAAATTACTTAAATTGTTGACATTTTTTTTCTTCACGTGTTTTCATTTAATAACGTGTCAAAATTAAAAACCATAAAAATAATCCGCAAGACGTGTAGTATAGAGTAGTATAGAGTTGCATCGAAGACTTTTAATATTTCTTTTGATTCCAAATGTCATCAGCATCGAAGCGGACACTACCGGAGCCCACTGGGAAATTTCACAATCTTTTGTGGGGTACTCCTAAATACGATCTTGTTCTTGTGCGGGACCTCTTTCTCCTCGATCCTCCAATATATCGAATCTGCATGTCCCCACGCAAAAGTTTGCTCCATTTTGTTTTCATCCATTGATTTTTGGTCCTCGATTTTTTCATTCTTTTTTTTCACAGTATCAGTAGGTCCCTCGTTTTCCTGTCTGCCAAAGCATGTGCATGCGTGTCGTCGAGTTTTGGGAGTGAAAACGTGGGCTTACGCCAAACCGTGCCATCAACATTACCCATCGTACGTTGGATTTCATGCTTCTGCTCGCCGTTACCACAACAATGTATCGATAACAAGCAACTATATATGACTTTAGAGTTGTTTCATTCATCCATCTCAATGATAACGGTGAATAAGTTGGGGATATCAACGTTCTGATATCTTTTTTTTTTAATATAGGTACAAAAATGTTTTTTTTTTTACTATCCAAATTGTCTAGATGGTATAAAATGAATGATCTTATATGGGGATGGCTCCCTTAGAAACGACAATTTCCTTCGTGATCTGTGATCTATGGAGTTTTGTGAAGATTTCTATCATATATATGTAGATAAAAATTTTGTAAAAATTCTTAAAATATTCCTTCTCTTAAAGCAAAGATTAAAGTAATTTTTTCCTTATAAAACTTTATAAGAAATTTTGTTCACTTCACGAATCCTTGTGAGAGACTGTAACTTAATAAAAAAATTATAAATTATATTCTTATAAATTATATAAACCAAAATATCTTAATTTTCAAATTCACAAATTTTAGTCACAAAAAACTTTAAGTCTTGCATCTCCCTTCTCTACTACCTTGGTTTCCCGTGATTTCACCTCTTTGTTTAATGAATTTCTTTTAATTTGCATTTAACTTACTTTATTTATTTATTTATTTATTTATTTTAGTAGGCAAAACTTACTAAATTTATTTTATTTTATTTTATTTTATTTTTTAGAAAAAGTATTTGGAAATAACTAATTTTTCAAAAATGTTTTAAAACTTTTAATTTTGGACTAAAAATTGAATGAATCAAAATATTTTTGCATATAATCAAACAAAAAAAATTATTTTTCTATACTTTCAAGGGAATTTCCTACATCCATTTCGCGGAGATGGAGGGCAATTTTTACTCTCCACCAAAAAACCTGTGAGAATCCTCTTATTTGCCCAATAATGGAGTAAAGGTACAAATAAGGATTCTAACTTTGTACTTTTTTTTATTTAAGGACGTTAACTTTGTTATTTTATAAATAAAGATGTCAACTTTCAATTTTTTTTTAATTTAAGAATGTCAACTTTCAACTTTTTTTATTTAAAGATATCAACTTTCAACTTTTTCTATTTAAGGATTAATTGGTGGTGATGCTGAGTCAGCTAACATATTTTTTTTAGGTTAAATA